TTATTATTATTATTATTATTATTATTATTATTATTATTATTATTATTATCATCATCATCATCATTACAGCATTTTTACAAATTCAAGAAAAAATATTTGGAACCGTTTTTGAAAAAATACATTTAGAAAAAAATCCTATATTTCACACAAATCTACACGAAAACTACTCTTAATTTCGAAAAATGGTACACAGCCTTATTAAAAAAGGAAGAACATATTCCGTTCAGGGAAAAAAATGTGGAGTGCATGCTTTTAATACGAGAGGTGGCGGTCATCTTTCCCCGTTGGCTAGCGATGTCCGGTGCAGCTCCACGTCGGCTTGCAGGTGTCAACCAGATATTGCCCACCAGCAGTGGACATCTCCTGCCGGGACAAGCTCTACGCTCCCTACTGGCCTCCCAGCAAGTGTTGTGCGTGCGAGTCACGCGCGATCCATGACCCGTTTGTTAGGATACTTCGCCATTCGCCTGTTGTTGATTGGAGAAACCATGGAAAACTACCGATTAGAGCTACCGGGCGGTAGAAATCTCCTCTTCATAGCTTATACTTGACCCAGCTTTCAAGCTAGTGTCGAAAATTCTGCCATTGTAGGGTCCCGAATCCTAGGACCTCCCGGCCAGAGGAGTAGCAGAGACATTAATTGAAAGGAGTTCGACGAACATGCAACACGGTTCATTTTTCAGCATCTTTTGCTATGTCCGGCGTAAAATGGTAATTACAAATTTCGAAGCCATTTTTGAAGAATTTTGATACTATTAAAGCTTCATGTAAAATGATAAATCAGGACAATTCTTTCAGTAACTAAGGTCTAGGGCTCAATACCAAGAATAACATAAGTGAACGCCGAGTTGTAATTCCAGGAGAAGCCGTAAATCTAGCAGAGTTGTCACCACCGGAAAATGTCCCGGAAAAACTCGCCCGGTCGTTGAATCTCCAGGAGAAAGTCCATTGAAAAGCGTGCTTCTTTTTCTTGCGTGACGTCGCACGCCTACTCCAACTCTCTACGCAGTGAATACAGCTCCAAATATTCACTGGCGCTCCTCTCCTGTCAGGGGGTTTTATACTCGGCGAGCAACGCGCGCTGCGCGTCCCCTCAGCGCTCTCCTTCCTATTGGCCGATCTGCTGGTGCAACCAGAGAGTATGGGTGCAACGGGGGCAGGAGAGGACCCTAGCGGGCGCGCGACCGTGGCGTCCTCTTACATCCGTGACCCGCGGCTTTCGTTAAAGAAACCGCCGCTTGGTCGCGCTGTTGCCTGACTGTCTTCGCGGCAGTTTGAAAGCGGCCAGAGTTTGTGCACACCATAGCCGACGGCACTATCGATTTGCGCTTGAGCAGATGCAATAGTGATGCGAAACTTGAACTGCGCATGCGCAGAAGATCGATAGTGCTCTAACGTTCGAGGGTGCACAAACTGTCATAAAGTATCTACTCTCAAAAATCAAAGCATTCTTTTCAAATTAGCAGGGTTTCGAGTTTCTGCAAAATCTATCCAGCAATATCAGTTTTGTAGAAAATCGTTTGAACGGTTTATACGCGTTGACCAATTTTGGGAAATCAAGTACCCGCAGAACGTGGCTTTTAAGTAAACAACGTATTATAATAAGTAATTTACTACATAAAGAAACAATATTCGTTTTTAAGATATCGGGTCACATGATATGAATTTTACTGTTGATAAGTTGCAGTTTTTCGCCTCACCTTGCTCTATACTCGGGTAGGTAGTATGCAAGAAAGTGAAAATTGAAAGCTCACTTCGACGTAATCAAGGCAAGCTTGATTTTTATTTATTTTACGCCAAAATTAGTGATATCGTTGGAGCTAGACTAATCATTTTTAGTTGTTTTTTTAAAATTATTTTTATGGAGGTTTATACATCTGCGAAATAGACAAGCAATTTATCTTGGTAAATTTTGTAATTAACTTATATCATTTCAGGGTTTAGGCCTGATGAGATTATTATAATTAGAAATTTTAATTGTCATATGTAGTTATATCCCTTCTTCCTGACACTAAACCACAAGTAGTTTTAAATTTATTGTTTTTCAATTCATCCCATTTGAACCACGTAGTCAATTTTATTAGAAGGTTTCTTAGTCTATTATTTTCTTAAACCCATCATGTAATCCCCCTTAAGGAATTGACAATAAATACAAGAAATTTAGGCATGAAACTAGAAGAGTGACGAACCAGTTCATTTTATTAATAAAGATGATCAGTGATATTGTGTATGCACCAAATGTTTTGAGTCAAGTTCTTTGTCAATTCCCAAGGGATTGCCCACTTCTTCCAGGGCCTTTTATAATCCTATGACTAATAACAGATCTCTCCTCAAAGTAAGATCATTTAATGTCATTGATCTTACAAACAATTTTTTGAGCAATTGTGATGATAGTGTAGATATACGTTTTTCAACTCTTATTTCCCTTGATGGGCCTATTTTGAATTATGGAGAAGCCAATTAATTATAAATTTAAGGCCTTTTACAGATAGTCCTATCACTGGGAAAACCTGATGGACTTAATAATGTAAATATAATGAAAAGCTGAAACAAATGATAAACATGACCCATTGGCAGCTTTATTTTTAATTTGTAAGGTACAACAAAAAAATATATACATATCAACTGTTAATTACAATTTATTCATTAACAGTTTATACAGAAAATAATTTTTTATTTTTCATTGGACAATTTTATTTGTTATCACAAGCACAACAGAAATCAAATTCTGCAACGAGATACAAGTCGAACAAAAGTAAAGCATAAGCGTAAATATAAAGCCAGATTTTGCAGCATCCACAGTTTATTTGGGAGACAATTTATTACTATAAAGATTATAAAATGAAACATACAATGAATTACACAACAAATAATCTATGAAATTTAACATCAGGGGAAGAACTAGTTTACTAAGCCAAATCCTGTGGAAACATGGTTGGTCCAACTGGGTGAATTCAAAGCTTTCCACAAATAATAATTTCCCTCTCTATGGAAAGGCTTACCATGAAACATCCTCAACGATGAGCAGGAAATCAACTAGGCACTGTTGATAGCAAAAGGGACTAGGAGACTGGCATAGTGGTGAAAGCCTCAGATGCCAACTGCGATTGCTACACAACTCCTTTCAGTACATCGGTAATATAGGTGTCAGGGGTAGAGATCTCTTCTAGTAAACCTGAAAAGATTTTCAATTTCTTAGTTCTCTGCATTAAAAAATGTAATGAAAATGAGTATTCCAATAAATTCATTTTACTAGGTAATGCATAATATAGGAATCAGTAGAGCTGGAAAAACGTTTGCATTTATTTTATCTATTATGCTGCAATGCACATAATGTTACAATCTGAAAGAAGGCTTTATGATCTGTTTCCACCAGTAGACATTTTTTAGACCGGTTTTAAAACAGGTGAGCACTGCTCTGTTGATATGTATTCTTTAACCAGTCAAGCGGGCTGGAGTTGTGCTTGTTATCACAAGCACAACAAATCAATTTGGGACAGTTCAGTGTGTGCAATTGTAGATTGGGGATAATTTTCACGAGTGATTTACATTGTTCCAATATCGTCTCCAAAAATAGAACTAAGTATTGATACAATTCATACTAGAAAGCAGTTGGGAATAAGCATGTGTGAATTACTTCCCCAAGCATATGTAAATGAGCAGCATGTTAAATACAGAATTTCAAACAGCCCACATCTTTTTCTCTCTTCATGCTTTTAAATTTGCAATAGACTTAACTTCAAACTCAGAATTATGCATGTAAATAATACTTCTTAAGAAGGATGTTTTGAAATACTTTTCTTGCATTCTAGCAAGCATTGACATCGAACAAATATTCTCCAGTTGGCGGACTGGAAAGAATAAATAGGAGAAAAACAAATCGGCACAAGTTAGCCCATGTTTGTATATGTGAATCATTTCTGTGTTAATCACCAACCACAGACCCCAATTTGATTTGGCATCACCTGTCAAAAATCCCTCTCACAACTGAAGAGACAATATTTACATAATATCTTTTAGTGCTCTTTGAATTCCAAAGTCTGCAATGTAACACTAAAATATGCCTACATTTTGATATTATCAGCCAAGACTTTGTTGAAAGACATTATCTAGAATTATTAACAGCTGAAAAACAAAATCATACCTAGCCAACACACACAAAATGCTATACATTAGCTATACTTGAAACAGGACACAATCTTCTGCAATAGTACTTTTGAACTAACTTTTCTTTATGGACTACAATAGTTTCCATTGCCTAGAAAATGCAATTATTGATTGTGATATTCTCCCAAGTGTCATGTTGCGAATATCGTCTGAATTATCATAATGAGTGTGTCACTGTGACTGTGCAACTGCAAGGTTCCACATAGGAGCCTACTTGCAACAAAATATTTGCTATTCATGTGTTGAATTACTGAACAGCAACTTTATTCGCGTTTTGTAAAGAAATGCTGTACTGTACTATTCTATACTACACTACTGCACTATTTGTGAAGACTGATTCTGTTAAAGCATTTAATTTCTTGGTGTTATATGAGAGTATTTAATTTGTTGCTAATGACAGTGTGCAAGCAACTTTTTGGAAAACAATTTTGTGTAGTTTTGTTCAGCAATGTTTTTTGCTCTGCATGTCACTAGTTTTTAATATGCAATTAATTTAAAAAGTCAACTAACAAATAATGATAACTAATTTCAAATATTTCTTGGTATGAACAGTATATTATAAAAAACAACACCACTTAAATGAAATAAAATAAAGTCTTTTTTTGATTCCAAATATGATGAATTTTCAGTTATTACATACCAACAACATCACAAAATTCTTCAAACGAAGCACATGGGAGAAGTTCTTCTCTGTAGCTAGCCAGTAAACGTTCCGATGCCTTCATTAATGCTTCATCATTGTGACGAATGTAATCGGCTAGGGCAGATGGCCATTGATCATCACTTGCACTGGGTACTTTCTATAATCAAAAATGACACAGCAAACTCAGGAGTACTTATTTCTAAAGAACTTAAAGAAAGAATGTACTATTTGAATTAACTCTACAGAAAAAATTGTTAACTATAATATTTCGGGGCACCATCCCAGCTGGGACAAGCTCTAAGCTCCCGACCGCTCCCCCAGCATGTGTGGTAGTGTAATGCATGTTAGTGTAAGTGTGTATAAGGGGTGAGGATAGGACAAAGAGGAAGGAGAGATCATGTCCGGTCCGCGGCCCATTTGGCAAGAACTGCTTCCCCTGATGTTAATTGGAGAACCACGGAAAACTACCGATCAGAGCCTCTGGTCTCTAGAATTCTCATCCAGACAGCGACTGAATTCAACCTAGCTAGAAGCTAGCATCGAAAATCTTACCACTGTCCGGACTTGAACCTAGGACCTCCAGAGGCACTGCAGAGGTACCTCTCTCTGTTTGTATTCCCTGTAATACTAATATAGTAGAACAGTGTTTAAAAAAAAAAAAAAAACAACAACAATTTTTGTTTCAAGTTTTCTCAATTGTATAAATCCTAATAGTTTTACTGAAATGAAACTTCTATAATATCATAGAAGGGAAAACATTGTTTTATAGAAATTTCTGAATTCTGAGAATGTTTATTTGCATTTATTTTTGTAGCTCATATACACTTAATAACTTGTAGCTGGATGTTGACAACATAGGTGCCGGATAAACAAGAATGGTTTTCAAAATTAAAAAAAATTGTAAAACAATTACTTTTTTGAGAAAGAGGCATCAATACTTTTTGACTATACAACTGATGGTATTTCAGTAATGAAGGTGAATGTTATTCGTGATCTTGGGACCATTATTGATGTGTCTTGAGTGACCAATTCTATTGTGGGTAATGCAGTAAGTGTGGGGTAACATACGAAAGGTTGGATATAGATTTCAAGCAAATATCAGATATTGGGAGATTATTTACGCCTCAGTCAGACCTATCTTGAGCTATGCCATTGTTGTCTGGACCCAATATACGAAAGGGGCTACAATGAAGATGGTGAAGTCGCAGCACAAACTCATAAGACAACATTAAAGTCCGGTTAACTTATGCCTGATTTTCTCTTGATTAAAAAACATTTTTAATTAATTAATAATCTTTATTAATAGAATACACCCTTTTAACATTAGTACTTTAGAAAAAAAGTCAAAAAATTGTAAAATACAATGTTGTAGGTAAATAAAAATAATGAAAAATGATCCTAAATGGGATTTAAACATGTTACTCTTTTCCTCAATGATATTATTCATTCATTCAATGACTTATTTTCTTCATTCAATATTCGTAACTTTCTTAAGCTTTTAAATAATCATGCCCACTGTCCTGAACTTTAGGAAAATATCAACCTGAAAGAACCCTCTAGAAACATTTTTGCTGAACTGTTTTATTTAGTGCTGCTTCAGTCTCCTGAATCTACCTAGCTAATGACACCTTTAGTCGCATAAAAAAAATAAAAATGAGATTGCAAAGTTGATTGACTTTTATAATAATTCACAAATCAGTTTCAAAAGAAAGCTAAAACACTTGGGCTTGATTACAGTGAGAATTCGTACTGTTCTGTTAAATGGTGCAGAGATTTACATTAGATAGAATGTATGATTGGTAAATATAACACCATAAGTCGTGTGATGTAAAACATTTGAAAATTATGAGAAAACTCCGAATTTAAAATTGTTTGATTTTTTTAATAACTTGTATTGTTATCTGAGCTACGATTGAAAGATTTGTATTGTATTTTAATCAATTATAAAAGGGAAGGTTCACGTTTATAAGAATAAATAAATAGATCTTTCATCAAAATTGTACTATGATTTTGTACACTTCTCTCATTTGTTACAAATAATGTTTCACTTGTGTTTTTATTTCTCCTTTGTGCCATACTTTATGAACTCTAAATACTATGTATGTGACATATTGTAAATGGAAATTTCTTGTATAAATTAATAAATTGTAATTAATTCATACAGAAAGCTCATGAACGAGTAATCAAATGTCCTTGTTATTACCATATTTACCCGAATATAAGTCAACTCTTAATATAAGACAACTCCCTCATTTTTAAGAGGCTGCCTAAGAATTTTTTAGATTTTTAACTAATTCTTATTATTTTGTTAAAATGAATTGCCAATTACATACATGACTAGGATATTGTCTTGTTGATTAATGTTATAACTTATCCCTGAGCTAACACTTTTTTGTTCCTTAAAATCATCAATCTTCAGTTTTGTCACTACACCACATATATTTTCATTTTGGTCCTTTTTTCATACTGCTACGTCCTCTCACTTTTTAGGCCCCTCTGAAAGTTTAGCACATTGCATTTGCTTTAATGGACATCACCAAAGTACATTCCCATTTGTGCTGCAAATTTTCTTTCTCTCTTGCTCTTATTTATAGCCTTGAATTCTTTAACAGTTTTTTCACATTCTTTAACAGAACTTTGGAATTCATGTCATTTAATGTTCATGTGACGGAACTGCCAACTCATATCTCAATTCCTCCAATTTGCAGGTAATGACTGAGATAGCAGCAAGTTTCCAAGTTTGGGAAGTTTTGGCTGAGAAAATTTCCATCATCCTTTTCTGTTGTTGGGTATAGAATGCATACATACTTCCTTCAATGTGAATTTTTGTTATTTCCATCTCATACAAATTCACACGCACAGGATGTCAAAGCAAGGAACCATGTGGCCTTGTAGATCCCTTTACTCACATCATGTAACAAAACTTCAGCCACAATTTTTATTCATTTTAACATTACATTTACCCTCCTACATTGCCGTTCATTTGAGATTGTTTCCTTACTGTCCCATTCAAAAATATCAGTCTGAATTGCAAATTCACAATTGATGCCGAGTATACAACTGTGAAAATAATTACATATGGCTGATACTTGCAATATTTTTACAGTCTTCACATTGTTTTGTTATGTCAACATTATGAGTTTTGTGAAATATAAATGTAAAAGTGAAAACCGATTACACTTAACCTGCTAACATAAGATGAACACGTAATTCAACTTTTGTACTTTTCAAATGAGATATTTGCTAAAGGTGTCTCATTCGGGTAAACACACCATATTGTAAACAGGCTTTTAAAGTCTGTTGATTACTGAATTTAAAAATACACATTAATTCATACATATGCACATGTACACACATACACACTATTTCTTCTCTTAATTTTTCAAAGAAAAAGATCAATAGCTTCTACTCACCTTACAATAATTGGAATAAATACCATCAATCAGCCCAAAATAAAGCAAATAACTTTTATAGACTGAGTATTCCTTCACTGAACGATCAGCTAAATGAGGTGTGGCTCCTGGTCCTGCTGGCTGGACATGGCGTGCTTGGGCCAACACCAACAGGCGGCGAAGATGACACACACGATTACGTGCCCAACGTGCAGGTGAGTGCAACAACAATGAAAATGCACACCAGAATAAAGGTCCTTCAGCATCATAACAAGATTCTAACCATTTGGACATTTCAGTATTTTCAAGGTGAGCTGTCAAACTTTTTTCTTCTCGAGGCCCTGATCTTGTCCTGCAAAAACATGACAATACATCAGGTGCTTAGGCAGCCATGGAAATATTTAAAATACATATCCCATTATACAAAAATTATTAATAAATATAAAATGTAATATATGTCATTATAGTAAAATTAATTAGAATACATTCAGTCTTTACATAATGTTCTTAAAGAAGATCTGTATCAAATCTTTCATGAAATAAATTTATTTGCATCAATAACAATTTTCCACTATAAAACTTACGTGTTAATGACATACAATGCCATGTGTATGAGGTAGGGGATAATATGCATATTGGACTGTGGGCCACCACCACCAGTGTCATCATGAAAACTCTTCTCCTGGGCAAAGCGCAGCAGCAAAAGTTTCAAATCATGCACTGTTGACGAGTAGCTTATATCTCTGGAGGGGAAAAAAAAAAAAATCAAAACATGGGTAGTAATATTACATTTCTTGCAGTTAATACACAAATTCTATACTTAAAGTGATGAAAAGTTACATCTACAAATTGAACTAAAATTGGAAACCGTGGCAGAGTGTACAACTTCTATAGCTCTTGAAATATCTGCTGCTGAATAAATACACATTGCATGTAAGCGCACAGAATGTTCGATACAAGTTGAATTACACATTTGATTCTTCAATTGCTAAACCACTTACAATATTTTGCTTCAATGTATTCTGCTAAATCATCATGACCACATTCATTCTGCATTCATTTGAGTAACAGTAATAAAAAGGCTCAAGAACACTGCATTTTGAACCTCAATGCCTAATATAAAGGTCATAAGCAATGTAATCAAAGTGTGAAAGATGTCAAATTACTAATAAGACGATATGCAAAGAAATGCAAGGACTGACATCTATTTTCACATTTGGTGAAACTGCATGTGAGTAAGAAATACATTAATTGTGGCATGGTGTGGAGAGGGGGGAGAGAGAGGGGAGAGAGAGGGGGGGAATTTTACTCTGATCATTATTTTAAAATCAACTCAATTTTAATATTCTACATAGTTTGATGAAATTTTGTAGTCAGCAGAAAAAAAGTTCCTCGTATCAGGATTCCTTTTTGTGACCAAGCTAATCTATTTTACTTCATCCCAAGTTTTGCAATATTGGTAAAAAGCACTCTCATGCCAAAGCATTGAAATAAAAAGAAATATTTACGTCAAGAGATGAAGTGACGAATTAAAAAGTCTAGTTTATTTCATAATTTTTTTAAGGTGTACCTTCTCACACTTCTGATTTTCTATCTCAAAAGTTGAACAACTTTCCTCGAGTAAATAGTGTCTACTTGGTTCAAGGATACCGTTAATAGCAAAATAGGACTTCCTAACAATCTCTTTAGATTAAAAAAAAAAAAAAATCTTTCATTCAAATATAATAGTATAAATCTGTCTTAAAGCAATGCCCAACTGTATCATCAGCTACATATTATCAATATTTAAATATATTTATGAGCATTTACTGCCACCACTCATGAACTGTAAATGGACTCCTCACTATTTACATGTTAAATAAACACATTAATGTGAGTAGGGTATAATATGAGTAAGGTATTAAGAGCAAGTGATTCTCACCTGTGACCAGTACATTCCTGAAGATATGTATTGTGACGAGCAAGGCAGCTGGCAAAAGCTGATTCAGGGACCTGAGGACCCCATAAGGGTAACAAACCATTACATTTTGTATTTGCATTCTGCAACGCTGCTGATTCCCATTCATCACGAGCACGAGCTAATCTGCAATAGTATATTTCAATATTTTAAATATGCAGAAACAAGAAATACATTAGAAAAAGGACAGAACAGACAATTCTATTAAATACGAAAAATGCATAACAAGAATGAGAAAATTATGATAGCAATTGACTCTAAGTAAGTTAACAATTTAAGAAATTGACCACAGATGTATGATAAAATCATGCAATCAATTATTAACACAATTTCACAAAAGAGGATTTCCACTAGAAGACATTTCAATAACAGATGTAAGACTATCTTTTTACTATCCATGCTTTTTGAACTATTAAACATGGCTCTGAAATTTGGAACATACCTAACTGCTGCCATATGACAATCCACATGTACAACATTGAAGTGAGTGACCGTGCTATAGCCAACTGTTTTACGAGGTTTAGTTTCAAATTCTTCCACATTGCAACGCTTTGTAAAAGTGTAAATGCCCAAAACTTTTGATGGTTGAAACTTGTAACCTTCACGGCAAATCACACACACCAACCCTGTTTCTTCACCAAGATCCTCCATCAGCAGGGTGCTTTTAGCCGTAACCTGATAAATAAGAAGCAGAAAATAATTATTTTTTAATCCCAAAATCCAAAACATCACATGTAAACATTGTGATGTATTAGATTACACATCTAACACAATATTACAAAATAGCATTGTTTTTATTACAATACTTCGAAATAGAGAATGGAACAAATTCAATATGTGAAATTTCATTCTTCACTTCTTTGACAGATCCAAAACATGCTGATGATATATTCTTTGTGTGTGTGTGTGTAAATGCATGGGATGATGATGTTGCCCTATCATATTTTAGAAAAAATTATTTGTATGAGAAACTGTTCTTTCTCATTTTTTTGTGGATTGATACTCATACTTCACACTTAGCCCTGTTGTCTGTTTACACTACTATAAATATGGATATATTTGCAATAATCTTCAATTCTTCTTAGTTTCAGTTAGTGAACAAATATCTGCATTTAATTTTTCTCACTGACTGAATACGTCTTCATACTTTTGGCTAATACCGTGTATGTTCCATGTTGCCATTTGCATGGTCCGGTTTCATTGCTTATGTTGTCTCCAATTGAGTCTGTTTAAAGACTGCTTAGTTTTTAACAAGTTTATGATTTTTGCGGGAACGAGGTGTTGGCCTATCGCTCAACCTCCAACCTGGCAGGTCAGGATTTTTAGGGAGGGTTTTTCTCTTAGAGAGGTTCACTTCACCTCTCTGCCCATGGCTTTGTTTCAGGGTTTTCCTTCCCTTAGTGTTCGGGCACCCACTCTCTCCTTTAAGACAGTTTCAAAAGAGAGCACAAGAAATAAGGATACTAATAAGATGAACCAAAGGAAATGAATCAAATATGCTAAATCCAATTCTGTCGAATTCCCAGTTATCAAAGAAAACAAAGAAAAATAAATACCATAATAGAAAGTATTGTCACATATGGTTCAGAAATGTGGGAACTAACTCAAAAAACAAAAAGAGATTATTGATGATTCAAACAGACTTTTCGAGACAAAGTTGCAGAATATCTCGATTACACCACACATGTAATGAAGAAGGAGAAAATGGAAATACAAAAGGATATAATAGATAATGTAGAACAAAAACAGCTTCGATGGTACAGATATTTGCTGAGAATGCCAGAATCGAGGTAGCCCAAACAAGTACAGGAATGGATACCACCGTACAGAAGATGGCAGGGCAGACCATCAACCCCATGGAAAAAGGGAACACTGCAATGGCGACAAGAAATTTGACAGTGGACAGGGAAGGCTGGAAAAGAAGAACCGAGAACCATTGCCAGACGTAAACCACTTGGGGATATGTATAGTTAAATAAGAAAGAGGAAGAGAAAGTTAGTAAGATAGAGTAATATGCACATGTATACAGCAAATTTTCACTCTAGTTTTCATAAAAGAAGAAATCTGTAGGGTTTCCTTACAAAAAAATGAAAGTTGTAACACAATATCTGGAATTACTCCTCTTGCTGTGTAATACATTAGTGAGACCTACGTAATACAAGTTGAACCCATGGGGAAATTCTGCACTTTATTAATAATTCTCTAAAAGAGAAAATTACTGCATAGTAGAATCCAACTTTATATGGCCCACTTCTAATCTGTGCGCTACAAGCACTGTACTATGTGAGGGTAACCATGCTGATATTGCTAAGTGTTGAGTTGAAAACAAATGCACTGAACATCAAATAATCTCTTTCATTTTATTGTGAAAGATTATTTCTGTATTTGGATGCTGATATAAGAAAAAAGGAGCATAAGTACAATTCTTGAAAAATTGAAAGAATACATCAAAATGGCAATCATGTCATGTTATTCAGTTCAGTTAGTACTATTAGTACAAAAAGTTTGAAGAGAAAAACTTGTATATTTTCTATTTCAAATTATCGCGCCACGTAATTAGTTAAAATAGTTGAACACAGGGAGGGGGAGTCATAGCGCTTGTGAAAGAGAGAGGGGAGGGGACGTGAGAGGGGAGTGTGCGCTGAGCAGCAGTTGGGCAGATAGCAAGTGTGAGTCGGCCCAGTTGGCAGACAGGCAAGGCCATGGACTGTGCTGTCTTGGCGTGTGTGCGCGATACCCTTGCACTTTTGCTGATTAAATAACTTACGTTCTTTTCTTTGATCCAACCAAGTGATTGTTTCTTTCGAGTGATGCCATCCCCATATCCCAGAATGGTTCAAGTTGGATAGTCACCAAATTTAACACTTGGAACCATTTTTAAGAATTTTTTTTTTTTAGTATTGCCCACATATCACTCAAAATAGGGTGAAAACCTCACAGATTTTCAAAAATTGTGCACGACCTTAATAAAAGATATAACTTTGAAGAACAGATTTCATTAACACTTTCAACACTTGCAGCCACCGTTGCGAAAATGCATATTTAATTTTTTTTTTTTACCATACAGGCTTATTCTGAGGAATTATTTAGAGTTAAGTTATCAACTGAATAACATCACATATTTCCAATTACCTATGAGCTCTTTTTCCAAAAATTGAAATAATTATTTTACTTAAGTGTAGTCATCATAGGGCGCTCTCGTAGAAGACTCATAATATTACTATTTCTGTACTTTTCTCATAAATTTTGCTATTTTCATTCCAAATAAGTTCGCTTTTTCCCTTGCACATTATTTATGACATTGTGGAATAGGTGTGAGCCATAGTACGTATCTTTTTAAAAGTAAGGAAAGTTTACTTTTTGATTATTTTATGTTTTGGAATATAACTAACAATTTTCGCTTTTGTTAGAATTCAGATCATGTGAAAGCTTTATTGCAATTCTGGAAGAATCTGATTCATTTAATTTGGAAAAAGAAAATGTTAATATTGTTTATACACCACCGGAAATAGCCAATATTGCATTTTCACAACAAATGTTTATAAGTTTGACTTCCAACGTTTTGTACGTGTTCTACAGTGCCCAGTTGGGGTTTTCAGTGACAAAATTTGAGTGCTCTTTGAAATGTTCTTGTAGATTATTGCAAAATTTAGTGTAATATCCTATGTCAAATTTAAGGTATTTTGGGTGTATTTCTAGAAATAAATATTTTCCAGGCCTTCCATGATATTTCCATAAAATATGTCTACTCGAGTGCATTTATTCTCATTACATGATTTTGTGAAGAAATTGTTGATGTGTACACAATATTGTGTTTTAAGAAGGAAAATACCCTGATGCTATTCAAATAATACATATTATATGAAGATTAAAGATGTATTTGAATACATATATAATGATATCTTCTCCAAAACTTGTTTTTCATCCATTTTGTTTAAAACATATTTAAAAAACATTTTCTAATAATTCACTTCACAAAACCAAACATAAGAACTCACCTGGCCTTTCTCATTTGTTCGCATACCAAGAGCTCCCAATTGCTTTTCTCGCATAGCCATTGCCAACCTCTTCTTTTCAGCACGTGTTTGTTCTCGCACCTCTTCAATACGACTTGCTACATGTGGATGGGCACGAAGTGCCTCAAGGAGATTTTCTGCCAAAGAACCTACATGTTCATCAGATGAGACCTGTTCTAGTCTATGAATAATTGGAATGCAGTCAGCTGAGACAGCCATCTGCAAAGCAACATACATTTGGAACCAATTATCTTGGAATCATTAATAAGATTATTATTCAATACACAGAATTTAACTTTTCCTTCCCGGTTTTTCTCTTTTAATACCTTATACAACTGAGCTGATTTTATAAGAATTTAATTTTTATTCATACCACTTTTCCATTAAAAAAAATTAATTTCTCACCTGTGTTGCCTCATGTTCAGTGGCAAGGCCAGTCAAAAAACGAAGAATATATTTAAGGGAAGGCTTTGAGATGAATTCCTTCCAATCATCACTGTCAGTTCGTAACAGAGTGGGTTTCACTGATGGTGCGTGCATCTGAAATACATATTTACTTTCAAAATTTTTGAAAAAGAAGAAACCATGGAGAGGAAAACGTGAAATAAACAGGATCCAGAATTAGAAAATAGATTGGAAGGAAAGATTCCCACACCAGGGAAGACGTAACAAAATACAAATTGATATCTATGGCAAGTCTGAGGTTAAATTTGTAGTAAGGACTCTTATGGCAAAACCGATGTCACTGTCTTCTTTCACAACTAGTATTTTAAAATCAACAAAGTTAATAACAAAAACACTATACAATGAATAAAGCATTTAGTTGAACAAGCATATTCTTCAAACAATCAGAAAGCGTAACTTCCAGACTCACTGCTATGCTTAATCAGAGAAGAGAACATAAGATGCTGGGTAATCACCAATCATATCTGTTCCTTTCAACAAAAATAAATTAAGGTTTCTTATTTTATTGTGAAAATAACATTCATTTCATGAAAAAATATGTTAATATTTACAACAGAGTTGAAATATTAAAATGGAACGTCATTTTGCTGGAAAAGCAAAACCTTGGATATTCTACAAATTAAACCTTGGATATTCTATAGTAAAAATTAAAATAGGAGCACTTCCATATAAATCAAATATACTGTATTTACCCAAATATAAGAAAAATAATTTTTTCCAATTTTCATCCTCTAAAATTCAGAAGCTGTCTTATTTTTTTAAACGTTAAGAAAATTGTTCTGGTTATGGTAAAATTGAAGATAGTGCATTGAGGTACAATAAATCACAGGTAGTATTAACCAGGGATAGTTTTTCCTTTCGTACAGGAAATTTTGTTTGAGCTTTTGATGGTACATTAGCAACACAAACTGGTTTTCAGTGGCTACCAGTAAAAGAGATTTCTAAAAAAGACACAATTCAAGGTAACGTGTTTACGCTCTTTCTATGTAGAAAATAGTCTACATGAAAAATAGATTGTACAACATAATTAATATTATATTGTTTTGTGAGTATCAGCTGTACTTATATGTATTGCATGAAACTCAACTTCTCACAACTTAATTGAATTGTAACGAATGTAGACACAGCTTCATCTAATAAATTTGAAGAAGACAGGACTGCTCTAAAAGGTTGTGACTTTATTTAGGCATCTTTGAAGGGTGTAAAACATGACAATCACGAAGTGTCTACTTAAAGGAGGGTGATTTCATGGACATGTTAACTTAACAGTGATAATTTAGAAATAACCTTATGAACTTTCAACTTCTAATTTATTACGATATGCCTAGGCATCGTTGTGTTTTCAAAGTTGCACTACCAGTAAAAGAAATACAGACTTTTGGATTTGTATAAAATCAGACTTTTTTTTCCTTTCTACCTACTGCTTATGCAGTATAGAGAAGTATTGAAATGCTGCAGGAAAACAACTGATTTTCAACAGAAAAACTGACTGTTAGTCCCTAATAACAAAAGTGTGGAAAAACTCTGTTTCTGAGGTAATAAATTATTTCCTTTAACACATAGTGTTATCAGAATCCACAGTTGAATGCCCTTGATACCAAAAAAATGATTGGCAGCAAAACTTCTATTTGTCTGTGAACAATGCTAACGGCTAAACCAAAAGCAGGATTTTCGCCTAAATACATATTCCCTGACTGATCTCACAGATGCCATGGCCACTTGAATTTGAAATAGACATTTTAATTTTTAAGGGTACTTTACAGTTTCAAAATTTTCTCAAAAATGGCTTCAATTTTTCTCTAAAAAAATCATATAAAGAGATGGAGTAGGTCACATTTTTGTTGTACTAACTGAATTTTGAAAAATCACAAAAGTTTACTTTTTTTCATCTTCCTTCAACTACAATAATGAAATTAGACATTTTTTCCCTTAATGAATCTGTGCAACAAAAACAGATCTTCAAGAAGGTCACGTTCAATTTAAAAAAAATACAAGTTAGTTTTTGTGTAAAACAGGCAATTTTGAAACAATTTAAACTATTATTTTCACAAGAGTGTCCAAAATTTATCTAAATTTTTTCCTTGTATGCAGTAAAGTACAGTAGGGACATGTGTGTTGGTTCAATAATCAGCGCACACACTGTATTATCGAAAACTTCAAGAAAAATTCCTGCACTTCATTTGCACTGTCAATTTGCAAAATGGCAACAAGGAGGTTGGAAATTCTTAAAATTGTTGTCATTGTTGGTGGCAGGATGATTGTGTAATGTAGATAATACTCTTATGAGAGAAAATAGATTTAACTTAAGAGCTAACAAATACACCTTACTTTAAGGAATTTTTATCGTTAATTATGGTATTCAAAAACTAAAAGGAGAGGAGAGAGAGAGAAAAGAAAAGAGAGAGGGAGGGGGAAGTAAGTGAGGGTGAGGGTGAGGAATTAAGGAAACCATAATTTTGTGCAAACACCCTTCAATGTGCTTTGTGTACTCTCAAACACAAGTTCAACATGTTCTATGCTCATTCAACCAAAAAAGAGTGCCAATAAAAGTGTTGCTACTTACAGTGATGTATTCCAATGCTTGTTGTACTATTCCTAGGGAAATAATGTGATCTTTGAGTGTGTTTCCAATAGCATTTCGTTCTATGCCTGATGTCAGTACACACAGTAATTCCAACTACAAAAACAACAAAAAAACAAATATGAATACAATGTGTCCACTCAATAAACAAACAAGAGTGACCATTAGGGTTTGAATGTTAAGCATAAAAACTGATGAATAAATCCACATAGAACGTATAAAAAATTAGATTGTTTTCTATTGTGTTGTTTTTTGTTGTTGTTCAGTTGTTCTTTTTCTTGAATCTTATTGAACAAAGTTTTTCTCTCTGCGAGTAAATGGAAGGCAAAACCATTGTGTGTAGAGAAGTGGCTCAGTTTATGTCAGCTATTGCGTATCATGCTTTAAATTACTGACTGTCCTAGTTTTAATTAGTCAATCTTTACTGCCAAAACATTTTTCATATGAATATTCAGATAAAATAATGAGTTCTAATCCTGGGTAAGTACCTCCTGGAAAAACAAATACTATTTGAGTGTATATTCTGATCAAAATTTAATATCGAATAATTAAATAATGTTATGCGAGACTTAGACAAATAATTCTAATTAAATGGTTATAAATACAGCCCAGATAATTAGGTAATAAAAATGAGGAAAATGTGTAAATATACTTGTATTATATACAGAAACATATTAAAAAGTAAGAAATATTTAACATTTATCATTATATCAATTGTTACATTAATATACTTTTCTCTTATTGTATTGTTCTGGAAACATAACAAAGACAAAAATTAAACATAACACTTCACATATTCCTATTATTTCAAACAATCTTTGTATCAATAAGAAAGAAATAGTTGTTTCAAATTCCCCCAAAAAAACTTCTCTTATTATCTCGTAACAGGGCCTTGTACTACGTAAATATTGTTCCACACCAAAAAAGTAACTGGGGCATTTTTTAAACACACACCGCTCTTCTGATGAGTAGTCAATAACCACTGAGACAGAATTGCCACACACAGTACTGCACTAACAGCACTTTGTTTCATATTCTGGGTTTATCCAGGTATGAGGACATTTTCTTTTCTTCCCTAGGTCACCTACTGAGCCTATTCTGTTCACATGCACAAGACAGGTTATATATAATAATTTTGGATTCAACTTCTGCAGAACGTCTGCTGCCTTGGATGAGATTGGTGCTGCATCAGTCACCAGAAGGAAGAAATTACAACTATCAGACCACAATTGTCCCATTGCTTCATTTAACAGTTTTGCAATGGTTGCAACCGTTTTGCATTTGGTTTCACTTCACAAGTTAGCAAACTAGACTTCTAACCTTTCAGTAACTTATTACAATGTTCCATACACATCAGTTGTATCATCATTTGATACCCAGATGGGACCATCACCAATTTTCAAGCGAATGTAATTTATATATTTTATATACAAATCAAAGGCATAGTTCTTTTTAGAGATCCATGTGAAATGTTTTATAGGAGTATTTTTCCACAAACTCTACACAAACTGGACAGGAAGATTTTACAGTACGTTAATAATGCTCCATGTCATTGCAAAGAGAAACTATGAATTATAGAAACAAAATTCTTTCCGACAAATATGTACTGTTTGCAACCCCTGGATCAATGAACAACTCATAAGTTCAAAATCTTGTACACGAAAAACTTTTCAGATAACTAATTACTAGACTGCTGAAGCCACAACAGTTCAAGAATGAGCAAATCTACCATAGTTTCAGTTGCTGTGGGCTGGGTGAAAAGTGCTTGGAATGAAGTGAAACCTGAAATAATCAGATGAGCGGGTTCACTGTAAGAATGATAATGAAACTTATTGTCATGGTTTGGGAAGTTAGCCCGGTTGACAACAATGAAGTGAAGGCATAGGTTACTGGCAAATGAATTGAAATAGGAAAAGTTGATAAATTTGTTTAGTGAGATTGAAAATATAAGAAAATATTATTGTGGCTGAACATGTGAAGAAATTCAAACTGACAACTATATCCAATTTTATGCTTAAGACAAATAAAGAATAATATAAGAGTCTGTTATGTACAATAGCTTTTTATGTTTGTCAATAAATTGCGTGTTATTTGCATACTATTTAAAGTTTTTATTTAATCAGCTCATAAATACGTTGTGCATGTCTAGAATGCAGACTTGATAAGTGAAACCCCTTCATGACCTCTTAAGACGACAACTTATGTGCATTTTAGATGGTCAGCATAAAGTAGTTTCACTGGATATAAAATTTCGTTTAAAATTTCTTACTTTCTGCTCATCCTCTGGAGTATGATCAAAGTCAAACTGGTTAAAATCAACAACATTCTTGAAGTGATCACAAAGTTGAGCCATTTTCTCTTCATTGCCATAAGTCAGAGCAGCCAAAACTCGTGTTAGGTGAACTAGTACAGATGCATTTGTTCGTACACCAGGAGCAGTGGTACAACGTAATAAAGCATCTATATGTTCTGTGCCACCAAAAGTCTGAGAGAAACGCAAAAATGCCTGCAGAGGTTGAGATGCTGCTTTTGACAACACTGTTTCCATAATCTGCAATTGAAAAACATTTACTTAAATTCAAATTATGAACATTTCAAAATAATTTTTACTTGTAGCAATTTGTAATATCTTAAATCAAGTTTATTTAAATCACCATATTTTGTGAAAATAATTAAACCGATAAGTGTACAAAAATGACATGGCTATGATGAGGTTTGAATGATCTATACTCATTAATATCTATCAATCAGTATCTATCTCTCATATTCATTACTTCCTTTTTAATTTTTAGTCAGTATAACATTGAATACATTTGATGTGGACTTCTCCTCTAAGCCCTTTCTTTATATTCAAAAATGAAGTGAATAATTTTGGAGAGCAAGTCAAGAAGTAGACAACAGGCTACTCACAATTGTTGTATAATTATTATTGTTGGCTACATTTTGTGGGCACAACAATCCATTTCATCACGCGCTAAAAGAACACATGACTTGTTCACAAATTTAAAATACCATATTTATGTGAATTAAACTCTGAACACAATTGCAAAATTGCAAATAGTCAAATGACTAAAAAATTGTATTGTTGATGAGAAAGTCAAAACTTAGCATTAATTAGAAGCTATTATTATTTATTTGTTCTTTAAAATAATCTTAAACGATTTTTGTCACTACTATCTTCTCATACATCACTGTTTCTTTCTTTTTGTTCCTTCTCTCAGTCTGTGCTGTTCTCCAACATTTGAGGTCCCCTTGAAGGTTTTGCATGTTGAATTTGCGTTCACCTGACTTCTGAGATAACCTAAGAACGTTCCCTTCAATGCTTTACAATAATAAAAAAATACAATTGCTTTTTAGTGAACAAAAGGATTGTACTAGTATTAACAAAGTTTACATTTACGTAGATATGAGAAAATATTTTGAAATATATTTAAAATTTGCAAATGTCATATGTATCCTTTTAGAGCCTAATGAAGTGGAACACTGTGCCTGAGAAATGTAGCTAACAATAATAAATCAGAATTGGGAACAACCTGGTGCTATTTTCTTGCCTTACTCTCAAAGGTCCTGTCACCATTTTCTAATTAAATGTATTATCAAGTGTGAATATTATCAGGCCTGATTATTGAAATGAAAATAAATTAAAAGCTGTTAACTACTAAGCAGATGTGCTCACATCAAGAAGCTGCTCGGTGACACTGCTTTGGCTAGAATCTGTATCACCAGCCAAACACAACTGCAAGATGCCCAGAAAAACAGATATAGCACTGAGTTCAGGTTGGGTCAAAACCTCTTGATTACGACGAACTTTCACACACAGACGGAACAGCTTAAGAAGAACTTGCAACAGGGGCCGTCCTCGAGTTGTGTCCTGAATGGCAGCTAGGCGATCTAGCATTACCTGTAAACATAAATTTAATATTCCCCAAAACATTAGTCATTATATTGGAAACATAAATTGATTTCTACAGCAATATTTGACTCTACTGGGATTTGAATCTGGAAAATACTAATGTTTTGGAAATTTATCAAGCATTAAAAGTTTAGAGAAAATTCAAATTAGGCTTATGAAAACTGAAGGCATCATCATAATACCTGTAATCCACCACAATCAGCCATTACATTAGCCATTTTGTAAACTTCTTCATTATTCACTTCCTGTTCACTTTTAGCATCTAGAGTCTCAACAAATTCTTCAGTTGCATCTCCTAGGAGTCCTCTCATACGATAAACCACTCTCATTGCATCACCTTCTCCACCCTCTGCAACCCACACCTTCTTGTACACCTATGAAAAAGAGATGGAGGAATAGCAACATCAGAACAACATTGCCCACAATAATTATTATGAAGAAAAGAAAATGTGAAAACAAGAGAGCAATAGGAGAGAATACTAGAAAAGTAACAAATATTACCATAATTTATTCTGCAAAAAATAATTTACGCCTCTTAGTTACAAAATTGGTCGATATTTGTACAAAAGTTCACATTGCACAAGTAATTCCTCTTAACTTTCTTGGATATACAGTACAGAGAAAGTGCAATGCTGCATAAAAAATGCAAATTTATTGATTGAGATACACATTTTGTGCACCCTTCATAACAGGAAAGTGATTTCTTGTTCAATAATAATAATAATAATAATAATAATAATAATAATAATAATAATAATAATAATGATTAATATAATAATAATAGCCAGCCACACGGTGCAGACAGTTGTGGCAGCTGTTGACTGCGCCGAGGAGGCTGCAGGATCGAGTCCTACATAGGCGTAGTCATATTTGTGATCAACCCTTCACCCCTCATCATCAACCCATCATCTCAATTCATAATTTAATGCATAACAATTTTGTCTTACCAAGGGATACAGTCGAAATGCCGTTCCCCATAATGACACATATTAATAATTAGCAGTTTCAAAACGTTCACTCTCATTTGTTGAGTGCCTGAGACATCTCTTTCTGTACTTTTAACAAATTTTCTTCTGTCTTCTCACTTGTGTATTCAACTGAGGAATCTCACTTTGAACGTTTTGAAACTGCTGCACATGAATGTTAAAGATAAAATCAGATTAGATGGTATACCACAAAAAAACTGGATAAAACACTACTCCACCCTGTGGAACAATCCAACTCTCAGATCTAATGAAGTGCTACTAGGAAAAAGCTACATTACTGACAACGATGAACTAGACATCCGACTGAATATAGAAGATCTTGAGGCAGAAATAAAAAAAGCAAAATAAAAAAAGCAAAAGAGGAAAAGCGCTGTTTACCAGTGCATGATTACTATACTTCTTTTTTTTTTCTTACAAAGTAAGGGTGAGAAAGTAAAAAGATTTAGTTGATTCACAGGTCAGAGCAGTAACCCTGACATCTTCATTGCATAACTACATAAGCCAGGAATGCGAGGAACCTTTCAGGCTAATTTCAATTTTATAGCTAGATTTACACATAGCTTATACACATATAAGCAAAGTGAATGAGAATTGAATCAATAAATTTTTATACAGACTATACAGAAGTTGCAATATTATAATATTACATAACATTACCAATAACACAAGAAAGTATATGCTTTTGAAGCACCACTATTTTATATTATTATTATTATTATTATTATTATTATTATTAGAAAAAGGACCTCTATAAAAGCAGTAGAAAAAATATAAGTAGGAGGAAATGTATACAAATGAATCATATTTAAAAGGAGATATAAATGGAATAACAACGTAACTTAAATCTTAAATGAAAGATATTCATCTAAGGTAGAACCAAAGGTATGCTAATGACATTAAGAAAGTAATAATCAATAATTGAACAATATTTCTTTAAAACTTACCTCCCGCACTGGTAAGTCAAGGCTGATAATTTTGTTGTTAACAAGCAACTCCATTCCATTGTCATCTTCCAGTAGAGCAACTAATTCACAATCCTGACAGATTTTGTTCTTCACATTACGCATTAAAGGTCCGAGACCTGGCTCAGCACTGCTGTATGGATTTCCCAGCATCCTACCCTGAGGTAGAAAAAAAGTTATGAATTACTTGCTCCGGTACACAATGGTTAATAGATTTTCCCGTTCATACATTAATCTTATTTCTTGTAAATAGGCCACTGGGCGGTCCTTCCTATTATCTTTCACTTTCTTAGATTAAAGATTTGAACTAACCTTCTTACAATTGCAACTTGGGAGACATGTACTGGTTGACTAGCCTGGTTCAATGGCGGAGGACTGAAGAAAGTTTGGGATTAAGAGGAAGCAGGAAATAATGGCAAAGGTTTGAAAGATACCAGACAGCATACATCTGGAAGTGGCAAGGGGAAACCCAGATGAAAATCTGCCCAATCTAGCTGACTTGGAATTGAAGTCTAGATATCTTCAAAATATATTAAACCAATTAAGCTCTTATCTTACATATTATCTCCCAAATCCTAAAGCTTTTCAGATCCACAATAACTAAAGCTCGATTTATGAGCTGGGATTTAATTAAATTGTTTGAAGTTCTTTTGAAATACAATAAAAATATAAAACAAAATATGAACTTTCTGCAGTAACAAATCTACAAACATGACTTGAAAGAAAGTAAATATTAGTAAATACAATATATTTTAATACACATGATTGCGCTTTCTGAAAACACCACATTCCACAAAGAAACACTTGTATTCGAACCATTTATTTCACAACTAATTTTTCTGTGCAAGAAATTAGTGATGCAAGAAGAATCCCAAAGTACTAACCTGTAAGAAATCTTCTTGTTGTGGATCTTTCTCAAGGGTAAGGAAAAATTCACCGATGTCATTTTCCTCGGGATAAATAATTGAGCACAAACGTTCAAAAATAAATACAGGAGTCCGCACATCCTGAGGGCTGTATTTCTGAACAGTTTCTATGCAAATAGCCATAAAAGCCTTTGTTTCTTCTTCAGTGCCTGAAGCAATCAAAATATTCATTTAATTTACATTTAAAACAATAACATGAGTTATATCACTTTTATAAAGTTTTGGTTTTAGCAGGTCGAGGAATTTCATGTACATATTTGTACAGATGTATCAGCTTTTGATTTTTGTATTACATTTTTAGAAAAAGTTTAGCTCATCAATCGAAAGATATGTAGATATAAGGGGAAGCTTCTATGAACTTCAGAATTTGACTCCATGGCAATTAGTCAAGACAACAAAAAATTCAAGACCATTAATATTGTGACTGGCAACAGAATAACAAAATTATCACAGTTGAAAATTAGGACAGTCAATAATAATAATAATAATAATAATAATAATAATAATAATATGCCAGTCACAAATATCAGTTGCATGACAATGCCCATTTAATGCAATTTCTGCTTGGGTCACCTTGCCTGAACAACGAATGACACTGGGGTGACAGCGTAAACGA